AAATGATCTTTGGATCAACATTTTGAGTGAGTGATGAGTATAGAGAGAATAAAAAATTCGCTTCGAACAGAAATTTCGCAATTTTACGGTATCGACATTTTTAAGGACTCCTCTTTGAAGAGTATGTAAATATCTTTCATTTTAAATGTCGTGTTTCTTGTTACAACGAAACCCTTTACTCGAACCCAAACCAGTTCAGTGGGATTGAGTTTGCAATAATAAGAGGGCAGACGCAGAATAATAATATTTCGTATCTGTACCATTTTGTCGACTACATATTCCATAAAATGAGCTTTATTCATTCATACTATGTACAATAGTTTTTTGTACCATACTTTCATCAAATGGTATGTTTTTTGTTGAAGCCACTCGATGATATTCGCTTTTCTCCAAGCATTAGTTGGTATTCTTTCAACGTTTCTGGAATGATGACTTGTATTATCCATCAAAATCACAGAGTTAGGTGAAATAAGGTCTAACATCAATAAACCGTCCTCAACAATATCATCAACACATCCAATGTAGATGATAATTATTCTTGATTGCGACTTCAATTCGGTAGACCGGCCTGCTAAATGTTTTTGTTTTACCACATCTTTTCAACTGTACGACTATATCTTCGTTCGTTATTTTCGATTAATAGATATTTCATGTTTGGTTTTTTCCAGATGAAATTTAATTCCTTCAATGTCTTCGTCAATTTCTTTCTGCCCATCATTGGAGACATACTTTCGTCTTTTTTTAAATATCCCGTTATTTTGTCGAGGGCACAGGTACAGTTTTCCTTCCTGAAGATGGTTCTGGTGATATAGCGTCACATAACGATGATTTTGAATATCCCACCATTTGCGAACCCATTTCCACGGGAGTATCAACGGTATACATAAAGAACAATAATCTTTTCGTTAGCAGAAACAGCACATTTGCTCATTTGTTTCACTGGGGACAGAACCGAAGTAGCCATTTCAATTCATCACAATAAGTATAATTTACTATTAAAGTAAATACTGTATGAGACGCAAGGTTTTCATCATCTATCACAGGTGAGTGGTGTAGGTATGCGATACACCAAGTATAATTCACTATTAAAGTAAATACTGTATGAGACGCAAGGTTTTTATCATCTATCACAGGTGAGCGGTGTAGGTATGCGATACATTAGAAGTGTTTTTTCTAGAAAGTATTAATTGAATAATTTTTTGTTGTGTATTGGATATACGTGAGAAAATTGAAGAACTACCAAATTCAATATAAAAACCGTTTAATTATTGAAAGTAAACTAAAAGTTGTTTTTGTGTTACAATTAATGGCTGAGTATCTTGCGATTCCTCCTCGGACAGAAATCACAACTTGAATACGCCGGGGCATGGTTCTTATGGGCCACCTGATGTTTTCTTGAGGCAAAAGCCCCCACTCTTCTCGAAGAACGTATTCCAGATCATCCAAAGTGGTGGGTTGGTTTTGACGGCTTCGGATGTTTCATTTCGGTTGATCCCATATATGTTTGATGTGATTCAGGTCCGGGCTGCAAGCGGACCACCCCAAATAAGTGATATTGTGTAGGTACTGACGCACGATCCCTGCAACGTGGAAACGTGCAATCGTGCATGAAAATTAAATTTTGCCCTCATACTTGTATGCCTTCCTGTATTTGGACATCCAACACATCATTAACGTACCTTTGGGCGGTCAGGGAACCGTTGCGGATGACTACAAGGTCTGTACGATTTGTGGGGTGTTATTCCACCCCACATTTTTATTAATTCCACTTTCAAATGGGACTAAAACGTTCATTTCTTCTTCTGTATTGTCTGACCTGACCATCATTACCACAAATACTGAATTAAGACTCATCAGAATAGAATACTTGCCAATGCCTTAGCTGTCAACATCTGTGTATCCAAGCGAATTGCATTCTTTTTCTTTTGTGACGTGTTGTAAGCAGAGGTGCCTGGACTGGTGCTCTAGATCTCAATCAACTTTCCAGAAGTCGATTTCGCACAGACTGGTTATAAATTTGGGTCCCTGTTGCTCTTTTTGTAGCTCCCTGGATGTTGAGAATCTGCGTGTGAGGGCACTTAGACGTAAATACTTGGCCTCTTGGGCTGGCTTGGCCTCTACCGCCCTTGACCTGGCCTTCTATAGACAGTCTTGTTGTTGGTGGCGGTTCCAAAGTCTTGAAAACACTGATTGATCAACACCTAACTTTTGACCCACCACCACCTTCAATCCATGTGACAGTCCTAGTGACATCATTGTCAGAAAGAGATCTTCCAATTCCTGCCATCGTACATAAACAGGAAGCACCAAACAGAAAATGAGTAAACTGTACCTTGTAAGTTCGATTAACAACCGGTTTGTATTTGGAATCATGTTTTTTCCATTACAAAAAGATGAGAGTTATATATACAAATCTAAAGCCAGGAGACAAAAGCAACCTCTGTTGTTTCTTATTAAAGTTGGCCACTACCAAAGGTCACGTTATTATATTCATCATAGAATTTATTTTTGTACACATCATTACAAAGTAGTGATCCTTCAATTGTTTTGAAACGTCGGTCGGTTCGAAACGATAACCTCCTTGTTTTGAAGTCGGTAAAAAATCACAACTACTTGATTTAATGTGTACTAGCCCTCCCTTCAGGCACAAGATCACTGAACTAGATAGTTCCAGATGCTATGATTCACGAACTTGCTCCGGGCAATTCTACCTTCCTGAATGTGGGTATCCCCTTCGCGAAATCGAAGCATAAACTTTCATTTTCATAGAAATAGCCAGCGATTCATGTCAAATTTATGCGTAAATCCGCAGATAGCCTATCCATAAACAAATGTTCAGTAACGGCTTGTTATGACAAAAATCGAGCTTATTTAAAAGCACGGTAGAAATATACCACGCTAATAATACAAACATCCAATAAATCCGAGGGCTACCGTGAAATAAAACTTGACCTGGTTTAAATATGAGAGAAAAAACAAACTGCATTCGACTATAAACTCAAAAAGTCGGTGTTGAATAACTGAAAAGCTGTTTCCAAGCACTGTATAGAGAAATTTACTTGAAACTTCCGCAGAGAGTGTATCTGAAAGTAGAAAATATATAAATTGATGGATGTAGCCGTTACTACGTGGTAGGAAATCATCAAGAAAAATGAGAATTGGAACTTTCTATGTTTTTAACCACTTTTATTTGTAACTAACGTTACTGCAGTTTCGTCCTATACGATCATTTTCAAACTTATACATTAAACTAGAAATAATTGATTGCATTATCCCTTATATATCACCACTGTAGGAAAATAACAGAGGTAATTAGCTTAATTGAGTACAAGGATACGCTTATTTGAAAACCGGTGAGTAAACTAGATGGATTTAACATGTTGCACCCGCAATTTTTATCCAAGGATTCCAAATAATTGAGTTGCAACCCTTCCTTGAATAGTGCGAAATTTCCGTGTCGTTTCGATTCGGGAACTTGTGGTTGCATCCCAAGAAATGGGTTGCAACCACAACGAATAAAATATCCAGATTTTTCCTTCAAACTTCGCAGACTCTATCCAGAATACTCTGTCAAGATGATTTTTGTGATTATTGGAGGAGGTGGAATGATGCCTTTCTACTCTCGAATCTTAAAATCATACCGGCTTGCCGCACTAAGGTAGAAATCTTAGCCGGACAGATACAGAAGGCTTTCATTCTTGACTCATTACGCTTACTCAGGGAACATGATTCTCGGACCCAATGAGCAATTACCCCACGGTGTGGGGAGTGGTCGTTGGTTGATAATGCTGGCGCGGCCTCTCGAATGTATCGGGGCTTTGGGGAATAAGGCCCGATCATCGCATACTACGGTAAAAATAAATAAAATAATAATAAACGCTTTTATTGAAAGGTTACTTAGTACAAAATATTCTAACATAGCCTAACAAATGGCAGAATTCAAAATCTACACATAATAAATCAAGGCAGATATTGCTCTTCTATCCAACCAACATGTGTTGAAGCACAAAAGAAGGTGCCGCTAAAGCCAAACAGACCAATCAGCAGTTGCAGGGCAGTCTCTCAGAAGGCACGTATGATTTTGCTTTCGACCGAATAATACTAGATGAAACCAGAGGGTATTATGAGACACCGACAGTAAACTGTGATAAACACTACTGTAATATTTTTCATTGTTTCTTCTGCCTGACACAAGTTTTTTAGAAATTCCGTTATGTTTCTTATTTTTTCGACGGAAATCAATTCTTTGTTACATCTCTGGACATAAATTCAATGGGGTCAGATATAGATTACAATTTTCAAGAGAAATTTATAGCGTAAACTTTTGTTTGAAATTCTAGAACAAACAGCTGATTGGTCCGTTTCAACTACGTCCCGACTGAAAGAGGCGAGCTAGTTAGAATGTCTAAAAGATGATCGTAAATAATTTTCCGTTATATTGTCAACTGTCGTATTCGTATACACCTCATTATTTGTTTCAAGATATTGACATTCTCAAGTTTTTCTTGTAAGGTAAATCAGAATCAATTTATTTCTTGAATAACAAAATTGATGGACCGATCACATAACTTTTTCAACAAATTACTTGGCGCACATTTACATTATCTTCTCATAAATATTTGGAATTTACCGGCAACAGTTCTGCCTGTAATACGTTTATTAAATGTGTAATCGAAAACTAATTTCCATAAATATTTGTAGGAATACGTGAATGTGCGTATTGCTAATCATCTATCGAATGTGTCTACATAATTTCTTGATTTTATTCGTTTAATATGAAACATATCCGCGGACCATCTTTCCGCGAACCACCATGTATAATCTCACCTAGGCCTACCGCGAAGAACTGAAAGCGCCACAATGAGCTTTTTCTTTCATCAGAGTTTATTCTATGATCTAATATTTATCTTTATTTTCTCGTCTAGCTCACCACATATCTGTTGCCAAATGTGATATTTTTGTTCTGAAGTAGCGGCTCTCTTAAAGTCTGTCGTCTCAGTTCTCACCAGTCTGGACGAGAGTGACCGCGCAATTTAAAAATCCGATTTTCAGAAAATGGCATCTCTCCCTCCACTTTATTTCGGCACAGAGATTGAAAAAAGTGTTGCGTGCGGTCGTCTTCAGTGTTAATTACCGATAACTTCCGAAAACAACTTCAATAAATTATGTGACAGTAAGCACTAGGTGAAGCCAGTGACATTAATATCTACAATATTGATACGACTATTAAAGCGCGTCTAACAATATAATAAATCAAAAGTGTCGCGCTCTTAACGTACGGTTTTATAAGAACGCTAGTGGATTAAGCAATTCGAATTTTTGGAAACCTACGCTTGAACATAGTGCCAACTAGTTTCAATTTTAGACATTCTCGTGTAGCAAAGTGCTTATTGTATGATAGAGAATAATTGAACAAGAATATCCGAGACCCTTCATCGAGGATTTGAAGGATTGCGAAGACTACCTGAATCATGATCTATCATCTCAAATGAGAGCTGAATACATTGTCAAAACCGCGAATGAAATATGGCTGAGAGAACATCGAAGCTGAAAGCTATCGGTAGGAGTGCCAGCACAGAATCGACCGAGTACTCAATAACCATGGGAAAATCGGTACGGAAGAAGAGCAAAAGGGCGAAGCCCAAAGAGCGCTGGCTGCTTACCAGAAAAACCTGGCGGTACATGGCAGATGCGGGAAAGAAACTAATTCCCGATGGCGCCCAGAACCGCCCTGAAGATATCCCCAAAATCGAAGCGTACTTCCAAGAGGTATGCAAAAAAGAACCGCGGTTCTTGTTATGGAGGAAAAATTCCTATCCTGGGGCGATAGGTTTTCGGAAGAAGAAAAAAACCTCGCGCATTGGGGGCAGTTGCAGAAAGGCCAGTTCGGCAGATGAGGCCAGTTTGGGGATACCGGAAAAGCCACAGAGACCTACGCATTTAGCAATACAACCAACCGGAGCCGGGAAGTTTGACCTCAAACGTATGAAAGAGGAGTTTCTGAGCAAAGACACCACTCCTGTCGGATTTTCCAGCTACGACCTGAAAATGGGCAGCAACGACAAACTTGAAGACGACTCAGAGGAGAAACAGCTCGTCAGCATGCTGGAAAAGTATCTGTCTCTAGCAAAAGATGACCCAAAAGTTGTCAAATCCCAAGCAGATTTCAATTACCAAGATCTGGTGGACAAGTTACAGAGGCACCTGAATTTGTGTAGTAGGGACAGCCACGGAGGTAACTACACAGGGTACCTCCCTAACCAAAATGTTCACTTTGAAGGAGATCACGTTCAGAAATCTTTGCTAGAAACTTTGAGCAGATACTACGGCCAATCTACCAATAGGGATCGAACCATATCAGATCTGCTAACGAACAGAAAGGCTCTGGAGAAACTCTACTTCGAATTACGCAAGGCAAAAGGATTCAGAGGCAGCAGGGGAGGTACAGGCTATACCGCAGCTTACGGCACTCCTAGAGCTAGCTATGAATACAGCAACCACAACAGAGTACTGAAGAACAGCCCTCTTACAAACTACCCTCCTCCTTTGATTGAGGTGCAGTCCGAAACTTCAGAGGTAACCTATCACACTTGGGCCACGCAAACAATGCCGATTCCAGAGGGGGTCCTTCAAAAGCTCGAGGACGAATACAGGAAGGCTCACGACGACAAGCTTGGGGAGGAAGTGCCCGTGAAAGATATCAAACCGGTCCGCAGAAGGAGCAGTGTTGACAACGATGATGTATCCCAATCGGTGAGTGACACTATAAAACGATATCTGAGGATGGCGCGTAAAAAGAGTGTAGACGTGGACAAAGTGGACAGGTTCAAACGCGTAAACTATGACAGAAATTTGCGCAACATTAAAGCTAAGGGAGAGATAACCAAGCCGGGAGACGATGACGGTTTGAACAAGGGCTGCCAGACTAATGACGATTGGATTTTGATTTACCGCGATTTGAAATTCGCGGACGTGTACGACGTTTCGGACGTAGAGAGCCGCTTCTCCAGCTCGAGGAGCAGCATTGACATTGGTGTGGGAGACGAAGGACCGAAATCAAATCCTTCCTCTCCACCAGCAATAAAGACCAGTCAGTCGTTTTTGAGCAGTTTGCTTCATGGCAAGCATGAGAAACACGATAAAAATGATAAATCTTCTCCAGCGGTGACCACCAGCGCTGCGATGCAGAAGAGCAAGTCATCTTCCAGCGTAATGCACCACGGCAGTCGGCTGATGGCGAAGAAAATCTTCAGGTCTAGGTCGAAGAGCCAGACGAGGCCGGCGCCTTGCAGTTGGACTCCTCAGGTAAGATTCCGGGTACCGTGAAGTTTATATCATCGGCATTTGTAACATTCGGCTTACTCTTGGACGGCTTTTGATGTTCAATGCATGGCCCTTGAGTTCTTCCAGAAATAAATTCAACAATCTGAAAAGCCCTCGGTAATGTAATGCTGCAGTGAGATTTGAAAAATTCCATTCATTTGCATCTGTTCTCCATTCTGATCGATAGTTAAAAGTTTTAGGAGTTCAAATTGAAAATGAGCTCATGTTTCATATTCAGAATTCGTTTGATTTTCAAAAATAATTCCATTGTGTCATATGGAAATGGAGAATTCAATTTCTGAATTGGCGAAACTGAAACCATTTTTAATTTTCGGGATACCAATAATTTCGTTTCATCGGTAAATGGGCTCAATGTCCCAAAATATAAATGTTATACATATAGAAATTCATCTCTTTCCATTGGATAACTTAAGTATGTAAATCTCTAGTTGTTATGTACTCATAAACACTCAAGTTTGTGCAAATAATCATCGATTGCCTGAATAATTCTGTTCCTGGGGGCCTCTGAATAATCCGAAGATATCAAGATCAGTAGGTCTGAAGGAATTTATCCATTTTTACGACAAAGCTCACGATTTGAATATACAGTCAACTGTTTTACAAATACGCAATATTATTTGATAATTTCACGCGAATTATCAGTGTTTATTTTTTTCTTCTCTGAAACAAGTTTCAAATAGTTCTTTTCATATTTTGGAATTCACTTCAGAGAGAATATATGAATTTTTAGTCAGTTCGTACTTGAATAGATAATAAGAAGTAATTAATTTTTGTAAGTTTTGTTCAATATTAGGTGGCAGTTAGAGGTACCATTTTCAAACTCGCTTCTTTATTTATTATAGCTGACAAAGAGAAAAACCTCAGAAGATAATTTTGAATTCATGTAAAAACGTTGCAATGGAACTAATCTCCCCAACAACAAAATGTATCAGGTCGCAGTATAACTCTTCTACATTTTTAAGCACTCAGGATAATACTAGTATTACTAACACTAGTTATTGCGTTTTATGCAATAATATTCATCTGCTATAAAGGTGTTGTAACGGCTAATTTAGCGTTACTGTTTAGGAACACCCTCTAGTACCCTTTGAACAAATTGAATTCATGGTTGCCTACTAACAGTTGAAAATTGTTTGACAAGCAAAACATAGATACTCCACAAAAAGTGTTGAATGCAGGTTGATTAAAAAAAGGGCTCTCAAATATTTATGAAGGAAGAATACTTTCATTTTTAATTACTAAATTGATTCAGAAATGCTGTGAAAACAATTACTTTCAACAGGGTGATCCAGAAAAATTATTTACTCAATTTTATTTTCAAAAACTACGGAAATGATTCCGAATTCTCATTCTGAACCTGAAATGGCGGTAAACTTTTCAAAAAGTGTACTTTCCTAGTCAAAAACTCCAACACCGGAGTACTGGAAAAATCTAGAAATGAAAGTCCTCAAAATCAGAAACGAACGTGTTATTCGAAATCTAAAAACTAACCATATTGCAATAATTCAATAGTAATCTTCACAAAATATCTCTCTCTTTCTGAATATTTAGTGAATACTTGTGTTATTATCGAAAATTTGAGTTGAGTTGATTGCATTTCATCAACCATCCTATTGGAAATAATTTCAAATAAAAATGTTTGTTTTGAATCTGGCATTTTTTTTATCAGTCAATTACTTTTTGAGAATCCATGAATGAAAAGTTCTCCACATGCTTTTTCAATCTCTAGGGAAAATTTGTTATTTAGGAATCTAGAATCTACTATTATCATAATGGTGATTTTTTCTCAATGCTTTGAACTTGATTCATCATTCTATATAGACATTTTTAGCAATTATGTATGAAACTGAAAAAAAATCTTTTTTTCTGGATTCTATCAGGGGATATATCATATATAAGTCGAGTTGAGATAGGAATAATTTTGGAACTGACTATCAAAATGTGACTTTTGTTTGAATGAATGATTTTACTTTTAATTCCATCGACTAATTAAGGGGTTGAATATCCTCTCTATACTTACAACTGATACACTCTTATCAGTGTGCACTTGTTAATAAAAATACCAACTCTATAACTATTATATCTATCTATAACTTTATTCTATTGAAGAATTCTATTTGTATTTTCCATTTTAGAGCGATGCCAAGTAGTTATTTTTGCATATGGAATTGTCATAGCATCTATAGATAGCAAGTATACAATAAATAACAGTTTCAACTATTCCAAGATCAGATGATATATTCTTTCAGTAATGCTACAAAACGATCGGAACTTCTTTGAAAACTGTCTAGTCATGCTGTTACCAAAGCATGAAGGATAATTATAAAACTATTTTTTTCTCCAATTTCTGAAAAAACCGGTCAGAAATTGATGTAGATTTTGAGACCAGTCAGTCCCATGTTTTTTTTTCAAAGAATAATGGAAAACTACATGACAGGCATATTTGGGACATATTATTGGCTAACACAACACTGCGTCGAGACAAATATGCGTATAGGTTAGGTATGTTATGATGGCTTGATGGGAAAAGCAGTGTATTTAAGAGAATAAGGACGAGATGAAGGTGTACAGACTGCATGTTTGAAAGAAACTGATAAACATGATCATTATGGAACCTTGTCGCTGTTATGGCATCTTGTAATAAACGAGTTATGATCATTTGAGCCATAATACATGTGATTACAGAGCTGTGCATCTCAAGCTAGGGCAAATATAATAAAATAGGCAACAGGTTCTGATTGAAACAAGATAGACCAGAGAAGCCATAGGAGCATTAACTAAGAGGACCAATCCGAAGAAACTAGGATTTCTACATTTCTAAAGTGAGAAAATAGATGTCGAGAAGATTAAATATCTGGGAGTGAGGATAGATCAAAGACTTACCTTGAACAAATAACCAATGTTAGAATATGATGAAAATGAAGACGTAAGTGGAGTTAACGTTTGACGAACATACTTGGGAAGACCTAGAGGCTGAAACCAAACACGATGTATTGGTTGTATCATTTGGTAGCAAAATATATAAGTTTCTTCAGTTTTTTGGCCAAAGATAAAGCAAGCTAGGCAAGGTTCTGGAAGTTTGCTCGATGAAGAATAACGGGAGCAATAAAAATAACATCAATAGCAGCATTGGAGACTCTAGCCCTCTCATATTATAACTATTTTATGATGATGAGGAATATGTGATGGAATTGGTCAATATTTGATAAAAATCCGTACGGTATTTTCTCATTGTGAGATTCTTACAAGACATTTTACAAAACCACAACAACTGCAACAACCGCAACAGAATAGCTACAATAGTTTTTTTATACAGTCGTTGTTATACTTCAAATGATAAGAGAGATGAGGTTGAAAAAAATCTGCTTGAGTGATAAGAGTGAATGAAGAAAAACTTGAACCCCAGAACGTACTTGACAGAAACATTCGGTTTATAGACAGTCAAAAAACGAACAATGCACGGAATCTGGTCAATATATCCGTCTTCTAGAAAAAAGTATATACAATCCTGCAATATCCAAGGATTATCAATTTGAGCCTTCAAAGAAATGAATGGATCTTTGTTACAGGCTGAACTTTGGGCATTGATGAATCGAGATTTATATCAAGATTGATCTGAGAATGACAAACAGAATTGACGAAATTGGCGGGTAGACAATGAAAAAACTGTTTAGTGTGCTAGACATGTATAATCAACTGCATATATGTGCGCTAAACCAGATGTGGAGGTACCAAAGTATTTGGTACAGGACCAGATTGGAAAATGAATCGACAAGAAATATAATAAATATTTGCAGAAAAAAGCCTTGGAACATAATTCCAGGATGAATTGGAAGAATTTTGAACTGAAATAACTTTTTGAAGAGAAAATCAGATATTTTTATAGAACTATCTGGGAATTTTCTACTTCAATAATGGGAAAAAAATTGTTATGGAGGATTGTGAACACGTGTAAAGAAGACAAATTCCAGTTCATTTTTGAGAGTTACTGTGTGAATTGAAAGTATTTTTCTCAATTGAAAATGGGCCATGTATCAGTAACTTATCGTATTTGATAATTTTGCTCTTCAAAAAATACTTAAGAAAATTTATTGAGTAGATACTCATCACAATGTTCAAGAAACCAAAATCTGCCTGCGTTTCAGAAATTGGAAAAAATCAAATATTAGTTGACATCTCTGTCGAGGAAGTTCGGAAAAAACGAATCGATGAAAGGAAAATGACAGCTCATATCTGATTTATTTAAATTCTGAAGACGGAGGAAGATTTTTATTTATTAGGTCTTTTTATGATGGGCAAAATTATTGAATGAAATTCTACATCACAACTTTTTTCAGATTGTGAAAATTTTTCAGAAAAAATTACTAAAAAATAGAGGAAGGAATAACTGATTCGACATAGCGGGAATCAGTCCTGAATACTGACGGTTACCGTGTTAACCATTTAGAGGTTAGGTTGTATTGCAGTAGCAGGGACTGAGGCAGCTCGTCTATTGTATGCGAATGCGAGCCATAGGCGAACAATTTAAATGATATGCATTCAACAATACTTTCAATACTCTGGTATGAGAAAAAATTGTCGGAATGGGTTTCATGAAAAAATGAAAAGAACAAAGCAATGAATTCATGAAGTTGCAGTGTTTTCAGGGGACTTGAGACAAGTCGCAAGAAGAAAATTAAAAACATGTAATATAGTTTTGCATATAATTTCCTTTATAAAAAATTTCAACAACTTTATTTCTATTCCAACTCTCAAAATATCGATGTTTCTTATATTTTCAATAAACTGAATCTCGCAAAAGCTCCTCTGCGTCAAGTTGGGCTCTTATTTCTTCTAACAATTTTGTTTCCTTCCAAGAATCGAAATGGTGTTTTTGAAAAGGTGTGATTAATTATTGATTATATAATGTTGGCCAGTTCTGACGTTTTCCACCCTGTATATAGTTATAAAGAGTAGAAATA